AATATTCGAAATCGAGTCAACTCTTCATGACCTTCGACAAGAAGAACTCAGTGTCACCCAGTATTACAGTATCCTTAGTCGAAGTTGGCAGCAGATGGACGCCTTCGAGGAGCGTCACTAGAACTGCCCCGAGGACGCGAAAAACTTCAAAGTCTTTGTAGAAGAAAAGCGAGTCTTCAAATTCCTACTAGGGTTCGAATTAACTGACAACTCTCAGAAAGTGTATAAATTGAAGATATCACTCTGTGGTCTAAAACAATCTCCAAGAGCATGGTTTAACAGATTCACAAGAGCTGTAAAACATAAAAGATATGAACAATGTCAATCCGACCATACATTATTCGTCAAACATTGCATATCAGGTAAAAAAAACTATTTTGATTGTATATGTTGATGATATCATTCTTACAGGAGATCACCTTGAGGAGATTCAAAAACTTAAAGAATTCCTATCCAAAAAATTTGAAATAAAAGATCTTAGAGTACTAAAGTACTTCCTCGGTATGGAAGTGGCTAAATCAAAAAGGGAGATTTCAGTTTCTCAACGAAAGTACATTTTGGATCTCCTAAAAGAGACTGAGATGCTAGGAAGCAAGTCTGTTGACACCCCTATGGACTCAGTCATCAAACTTGGATTCAGAATCAGTGATAAAATGGTTGACAAGGGAAGATACCAAAGATTTGTTGGAAAACTTATTTACTTGGCTCACACAAGACCAGACATCAGTTTTGCAGTAAGTACAGTAAGTCAGTTCATGCATCGGCCAACTGAAGATCACATGAGTGTTGTGTATCGAATTCTGAAGTATCTCAAGAAAACTCCAGGACAAGATTTATTCTTTCAAAAAACAGACAGAAGGGATGTTGAAATTTACACGGATGTGGATTGGACAAGTTCTACAAACGACAGGAGATCTACATTAGGATATTGTACCTATGTTTGGGGTAACCTGGTTACCTGGAGAAGTAAGAAACAGTCTGTTATGTCTCGCAGCAGTGCAAAATCTGAATTTAGAGCGCTCGCTCATGGTATTTGTGAAGGTGTATGGTTGAAGAGAATACTTGAAGAATTAAAAATCCTCAACAATATGCCTATGAAAGTATGGTGCGACAACCAATCAACAATTAGTATGGCCAAAAATCCAGTACATCACGATAGAACTAAACATGTGGAGATTGATCGTCATTTCATTAGAGAAAAATTAGAAGATGGGACTATAACTCTGATGCATATTTCAACCAATCAACAGATTGCAGATATTCTAACTAAATCTCTTCCCAAGAGAACCTTTGATGACATAGTATCCAATCTAGCTTTACTCAACATATACGTAAACTAGATTGAGGGGGAGTGTAGAAAATATAATAATTAGAAGAATAAATTAGGATTAAAAATGGTTATTTACAACTGTTATGTGCTGTAAATGGAGGGAATCACCAACAAATTTGTTGTAATAAATTTGTCCTTAAAAACAGAATTTTGTTAGGTTTTCTCCAGAATTTGTTGGGTTGTTAGGATAGTAAACTTGTATGCATATGTGTAAATCATTCATCAAGAAGTAGAAGAATATTTTTCTCTCAATTTTCTTCACTACCAATAGTTGTCAAGAACTCTTGAGGGATCCTCAGGATATATTTTGTTTTCAAAGGGAAGGAGCATGCATTTAACAATAGTACAATTCCTAAATAGAGTTAGGTTTCTTTATTTTGTTCTTTTTCCTATAATATAAGGTACCCTAGCTAAGTTGAGAGACATAGTATAATGATTATTATTCAACATTATTGAGATATTAATTCAATTACTGAGATTGAGGTCTCAACATTTTGGTTCTTTGTTAACTTTTCTTAAATTTTGTGTTCAAACGTTCTTTCCGTATATCAGTTGGTAATAGATCCTGACTTTCAGTCATCATACCACCAGTCAGCTTTAGCAAGATCTCTCACCACAGAAAAAAGGTAACTGACACGACCAGCACAAGGGGCATCGACCAACCTATCCACCAAATCGCAGTCAATAAATTGGACGAATTAATCACAAATGCACATACATAAATTGTTTCCTTTGACTAAACTTTCCAGCTAAAAAATCTCTCACAAGTACCTCATCTAGAGTACAAAATTCAAGAAAGCCATACTTGAAATCTGGACATTTACAATGTCTACAAGCTAGCACGTGAATCAAACATGTTGTTGGACGCAGGTGTGCTTGGTTTATGCGGTGTCTACTTGATCAGTTTAAATTGGTTTAACAAACCGAATTCATCACTTCCTACTTCAAACATGTCTAGACTAGTTTTCAACCTGTTTAGACAGTTCCTAAACTTTTTCAACATCTTCTTGTCACTTTTGATATGTATTTTGTCAATTTCATGCTTTATACTTTTTGAGGATAGGTTGATATTGGATCTTCTTCCTTTGTTAAGTCAAATGAAAAATAAAGCAATTTTTGGATGGGTCTAAAGTATGAGAAAATCTAATTGTACTCTCTTAGTAACATCCTATAACATGTAGGATTCAGTTGCAGAGAATGAACTAAAAGATTATTTATTTAAAATCTTTCATCATACCAATGTGTAAAGGATTAAAACAAATCCAAATTCTACAAGGACGTAAGCTTTTGTGAATTATGAACTATATGAAAAAGCTATTTGATACTAGATGGGTCTCTTTTACCAGAAAATCTAGTGAAAACCCCTGAGTTCATACTAGGATTCCTTCCTTTGTAATCTATCTTTAGGGATTGTTAAGGACTCATTAGAGAAAACTCTTTCATCTCATAAGCAGGAAAATTAAAAAAATTAAGAACTCTGTTTTCCTTCTTATTCGAACTTTTTTGCACTTATGCAAGCATTATTCAACAAGTTCTCACGGAATAAGATTCCTTTTCGAAGCAACCAACTTACATGATAGACTCATTATAATTCAAAACTGACCAATTGATCCGGCCATAACCGTAGAATAATTATAGGAAAATAACTGCCTGCGATTTCTCAGCTACCATCAAAACTTAAAGGCCAAAGGGAGCCAAACAAACAGATCCTCGGCTGGCCTCAAATTCATCAACATTGATGCAAATAAACATAAAAACAAGAATTCCTCACGTCTCTACTCATCCCTTCATTCAGATCCAAACAAATCAAGAATTTGACCTGGTATCACTTCTCTTCACTTTATTTTTGTTTGTCTTTTGCAACTTAAATTGGGAAAGACAGTACACACTTCTTTTCATCAAATACTTTAACTTATCAGAAGATACAAAAAGCCTTCATCTAAAAAACATTGAAAGAAGTTGCAAATGATGAAATTATCCAATTTTCCCGCCACCCACTAATGGAAATGAATCCTAAAAATGCATACAGCTGCAACTATTCCAGAAGAGGTATGAATTAGTGAATTGAATTCAAAATGTGAACTCATGACTTGTCTCTATCTCACCATGGGAAACTACTAACCCTCAGTAGCTACAATTCCATTTCCTTATGTCAAAACTGTATTTTTTACCAAAATGAGGCTTGTACAGCTACTTGGTCTAGACAAAGCAACCTCCTACAAATCTTTCTAACAGATTGTTAATTTCTTGCTCCTATATTTCCCAAAGAATTCAACAACAATCAAATGCAAAATGGCCCAATAATCGTACAAGATTTACTGTTCATACCCAACGCAAAAAAACGAAATTGATTCAATAATTAAATTTAAAAACGCAAAATCAAATTTTGTATAACAAATACTTATAAATAAGTGCACAATTACTTACTCTCACAATTTCTCGATTAAAATATGCATAAAACTACTAATAATTTACAGTACATCATCGAGAATTCAGAGAAATAGCAGATCTAGAAATAAAAACTTATGCATGTAAACATACAGTGATAATACCTGGATCAGAGCTGTGAATACCGCAAAACCTACATATAGATCGATGACCTGCAACAGTTTTTAAAAATTAGCATGATCGTTGTATTTACAGGAAGAGATGATGAGACAAATACCTTGAGGCTGGTAGGCGTGGCAGCATAAGCAGAAAGGAGCGAACGGAAAAGGGCTTGAGCATCCTTGCCGGTAGATCTCGCCATTTGAAAAATCCCTTGGTTCTCTCTGCTACTCTGGAGCGTTGCAGTATCTAGCGAATCTGCTACAATCAAGGGCAGTATTGTAATTTAGTTTATATACGAGGGTTGTTTGGGAGATCTCTCTCTAGGGTTAAGAACAGTTTTGTTTTTAATTAAAAAAAAATGAACAGGCTTTTTCTTTCAAATAAATTATAAAATGGTTAAGAATAAGAACAGTTGAAAGAGTAGTAATTTTTTATGGTAATAAACATTCTTAATTATTGATTTGTTGTTATGATTTTATTATTTTAAATTTTTTTAAATAAAAATGTTAAATCAGATTTTTTTCATTATAATATATTATTGCTTCATTAGTATTAACACAGTAAATGTAGAACCCAGTTGGGTACAAAGAAATAATAATAATAATAAAATTTATATATAATTAATTAAAAATAAAAAGAAAAGAAAAGAAAAAAAAAAAGTATAGGCCAGAGGCGTACATGCCTCGAGAAGCAAAAGAGGGAGTCCAAGCATATGTATATATACATACATGTGTGTGTATATATAATTAGATAAAATAAAAGAAAAGAAAAAAAATGATAATAAATAAAATAATAATATATATATATGTATAATTAAATAATAAAAAAGGAAAGAAAAAAAAAAGAGAGAAAAGAGAAGGTCGAACGGCTGGAACAGAGAGGGAGGAGTGAGAGGAAGGTCGCGGCCGAGAGAGGGAACGACGAGGGAGATCTAGAGAGGAGGTGGGTCGTGAGACTGCAACCGAAGGAGAAAAAAAGAAGAGAGAAGAATCATGGTCGGGAAGAGAGAGAAAGAGAGAGAAGAAGAAGAAGAAGAAAGGACAAAAAAAGAAAAAGTAAGAAGAAGAAGAAGGGGAAGAAGAAATAGAAGAGAGTGCGGCGGACTTACCAGAGAAAAAGTTAAGTGTGTGCGGACGTGATGGCCATGGCGTGGCGGAAGAGACAGGAAATAGTCGCGAGGAAGAAAAAGAAAGAAAAACAAAAGAGAACGAAAAGAAAAGAATAAAACGAGAAAGAAAACAAAAAGAGAAAGAAAATAAAGAAAATATAGTATTGTTACGCAATATGCAGCAACGCACATTGATCCCAGCGTTAGCGCGTGATTTTTTGGTGACGGGCGTGTGATAGCACGCGGTGATGCTAATGATCGAGATTGTGTGTCTAAAAGTAAAATATATTCTTCCTTTTACATGTATAGATTTTGAAATTATTTATAAATTAATATGTGTATTTTCTATTATAAATAAAAAAAATTATGCAAACGATATTCGAATTTTTGATATGATTATAAACTGAGTCGAAAATGATTCTTAAAAATTTTTCGATCACATCATAGGTAAAAATTATGTATATTCTGTACGAAAACATAATATTGTGCTTATAAATTATAAATTATATATATAAATATAAATATATATAAATTGTATATGTGTATATTTTGTGTAGATATTAATTGATGAGAACATAACTTATAAGAACAAATACATAAATAGTTACGTATAATGTATTGTGATTGTACATATATATATTTAAGTATAATGTATATATGTATTGATAGAGATTGTGTGTGTGAATATAAATATATATTCTGTGTAAAACATGTAGTGAGAGTATATATCTGTATTATAATATATGTGTATGTATTAAATATGTGTGTACACATGTTATGCATGTGAAATATATAACCAGTGTGTGTACGTGTAGAATTTGAGTACATTGCACTTATTGTGTGATCTGGTGCAGATATACGATGCAATGTACTTGTTGTGTGATCTAGTACAATTGTTCGAGGATCTGAGTATCATGGA